TCCAATTTTTTCAAATTTGTGCTCTGTTTTATTCTTGGATTTGAGCCAAACAAAGCCAGTGTCTTTTATATAGCCACATTCTAACATATCTTGCATAGGAAGAAGACCATTTGGGAGGTTCATTTCTGTTAACAAGAACTTTGATTTTTCTTGACAGATATCATTTCCAGTGTAGAATTCAGTTGCACTGGCTCTGATCTCCTCTGTTATTAGAGACATTTTTTTTTTTACTTTCTTTTGCAATGGATTTTTTGCTTTGTAATGAATGAGATAGATCGGCAAAAAGGCTTCTAATATATAGGTGTCAATATGAGAGATTACCCTTCGGTTTTGGCTTAAATTTCTCAAATGCCCTTATGATATGCCTACATCAAACAATAGTAATGTTTTTTTTTTTTTAAAAAAGAAGAAATTGTCAATTTAAAGAGCAAATCAGAAACTTGGAGGATTTTTAATATAAAAATTTACTATATCACCTTACTAATTTATGTATCATATTTATTGAATTGTCACTGTCGCGCAAACAGAAGAGCATGGATGACAAGTGTGCTTTTTGATGAATATATTCGTTGGTTTGACCACAAAATGCATGGTAGACGAGTTTTGCTTATGGTAGATAATTCCAGCCCATAATAGAAAAATTGAAGGACTACAAAATGTTGAATTGTTTTTCTTGCCGCCCAACATGACATCCAAAATTCAACCTTGTAATGTTGGGATAATAAGAGCTTTCATGGTGTATTATCGTAACAAATTTTATCGTAGGATATTAGAAGGCAATGAAGTGGGACAAACTGATCCAACAAAGATTAATGTTTCGGATGCTATCAATTTTGCAATCCCTGCTTGGACAACAAATGTTCAGCAAGAGACAATAGCAAATTATTTTTGACATTGTAAAATTCGTTCGGGGGATGCAATCTTAGAGAATTTGAATGAACTCACTTGTGAAAACGTCATTCATGAACTTGAGGTCATGATTAATGATCTTGGTTACCACAATAAAATGGATGTCAATTACCTATTGAATTATTTCGGTGAAAGTGAAATGTTCAGAGGTCCAGACCTTAGAAGAAATTGTGGATATCATTGGAAAAAGCAATGTTTATGATGAAGTTAAAGATGACACTATACCTTTGGAACCAGTTACGCGTAAGGAAGCACTTATCACATCTAGAACTCTTCACAATTTTATGGTGCAGTTCGAAAAGACAACATCGGAGATCTTGGATGCAATAAAAAAAGTTAGAGATGAGCTTCAACTAGATTTAAATTTTAAGAAAAAACAGAACACAATAGAATTATATTTCACTAAATTGTCTTAGATATATTTATACTTTTAAAGAATTATTATTTTATGATATTAATGAGGCCATGTATTTATATAGGGGTCTTTTAGAAATATATTATCTTATTATTTTATCGAAAATGGTAATTTTTTTCATTGACCCAAGTCAGGACCAAAGTAAAATATTATTTTAGAGAGATTATTAATTTATCGATTATTAATTTATAGAGGTTTTACTGTAGTTGAATATTTAAACTTTCTCCGGTGAAAATTTAATCCCTAACTTGTTATCCATTCTCATTTCCCCTTTTCCGTCCCCCAACTTTATATTTTATTTTATTTTTTTTTAAAAAAAAAAAACAGAAACTTGGTATTCTCACTAAACATGGAAAATGCATGAAATTGTGTTTGCCAAACATCTTTTTCCCTATGTTCATAATTACTTGTCCGTTTTTAATAAATTAAGAAATAATTTTTTTTCCTATTATACTCTTAATTAATTACTTTGAAAAAAAAAACTTCTTGAAAGAATTTTAATTCATCAACTTCATAATTAATAGAGCTAAAATGTAAACTGACTATATCAATCATTATTTTCTTAATAGGTATGTCAATTTAAAAATAGACAAGTAATTAGAAATAGAGGGAGTTAGAGAACTTCCTCCGTTTCTCTTATTTTATTTAGCTCATATTGATTTGACACTTTATTTAAGAAAATATTTATCAGAGATTTATTTTATTAAAATTAATTTTATTAATTATATTTTAAATATCTAAATTTGACAAATAAAACTTTACATAGGTATTTAAGGGCAAAAATAAGATAGCAAAGTTCTCTTAATCTGCTAAAATGAACAAATAAATATATTTTTAATATAAACACCAAGCAGGAGTAGAATTTGAAAATATATGTTTAATTTAAGTATTACTCCCTCCGTTTTTAGTTGCTCTAGTTAAAAAAAAGGTTCTCAAAATAAGCTTCGTATTAGAAATTTAATTGAGAAAAATAGTACTAATTATTTTCAGCTATATTTGTTATATTGAAGAACTATTTCTTTTTAATCGAGCCAAATTCTCAAAATTTCTAATAAATAAATAAAAAATTAACAAATTAATTTTTCATTTATTATTTTCCGTAATAAATATGAAATGCCATAAAGCTATGCTTTTTTGGGGGTTGGCGGGGGGGGGGGGGGGGTACAATATTACAAGTACCTTCTTTTTGTTTTCCCCAAAATTGTATGGAGGGCATTAATTAAGTGGGTAGTCCACCAAAGATTAGAAAAAAAGTGATTATCAGAGCATTGAAAAAAATAATTAAATATGGACCTACAATATGGGAAATTGGATGGAAGGTTGTGCTACAAACTAAATATTGAAAAAGGAGGTTGCTAACATTTAATGCAGAATTAAAAAAAACAGTTGGAAGGAGTAACAAATACAGTAGCAACAACTATCCTAATCCCTCCGTCCAACAATACAATAATAGTTGTCCATTATATTAAAAATCGTTATTCAATAATATTTGTCAAATTTAAAAAATCAAGAGATAATTTACTTTTTATGTCTATTTTATCCTTGCTATTAAATATTGTTTATCATCTAACACATATTTCAAAGCATTAAATTAAGTAAAGTCAAAGGATAATATAGTAATATTATTCATATTATTTATTGTTTCTTAAGAGGTGTGTTAGGTCAATAATGAACAACTATTATTGGTCAGATATGATATGTAATGCAAGTAGTTGGAGAGGGTTATAAAAATTCTGCTGGAGGAATTATTTTGAAGAGGATCCCAAAATTTGTTTTTATAGCCCTATCTTTTCCTCAGAACACAGTAAATTGTCATTTATGTCAATTGACTAATCTTTTCGCCGATAAATACTTATTCACATTTAATATTTATTTGTACTAGTACTAGATCATATATAGCAATTATAAATGAAATAAGTATGAATATTTGTTAAGCATAGCTAGGCGTTAGGATTTTGAATTTTGAATGCAAACACATGTTGTATATTTACTGGGCATTGAATGAACATAATGAAAAAGAAATGAATAGCATAGAAAATGATTTTAACTGGAAAAATGTAGATTACATACTAGAAATTGGTAGGAATTGAAATTCGGAACCCTATCCTAACTAGGCCTACTTGCAACATAGGCGAACTCACAAGGGTGGACGTGCACCCGTTAACTTCGTAAAAATTATTTATATATATATATATATATATCTTGAGAAACGGATGGAAATTAAATTTAATTAATAATGCTCTCATGAAAAGCATAAAAGGGTGCAAATACATCCACCCACGTGACCTGGGTTATCTATCCCTTTTTGGCTTAATATTAGTGAACTCGGAGTTTTCAAATAACCCGAAGTTTTCAAATCCTAGAGTTGCCTCTGACTTGCAACATACTGATAAGTTTTACATACCTCTCCTCTTGCACTTTTTTTTAGGGAAAAAAGGAAATTAAATGAGAAATTCACCAAATTCTTTTATACTACAAAGATGTTTTGAAGTTTTCGTTTCAACATAGTAGTTAATTTCCTCTTCTTTTTTCATTTTCCTTCCATCTTATGATTTCCAACTCTTACCTATTACTACATAGGTCTTATAAATGTCATTGAAAGCCAAGCTTATAATTTAACTAGAACCATTTCAAAGAAAAAGTCAAAACTTCAAAAGCTAATCCTAGAAAAAAATTACAACGTAAGTACTCCTATTTAACAAATGTATTAGAGAAGATAGGTGGTGTTATTTAATTTAGGTACACATTTTCTAAAAAGAACAGCAAGAGAAATCAAATGCACATTATAAGGGGGCCTCATTAAACGTCAAAATTGATGTCTACTCTCTAGTAGTCACCTTCATACATTATAGTTTGTCTATCCTATAAAGCAAAAGAAAATAATGAAAGATCTCTACGACTATACCAAAAATCTATCAAAAACGATTTTTCTATCTTCATAAGATAGGGTAAGACTGCAACCTTTTCAGACCTCATTTATGAAATTACACAGGATATGATATATTGAAAAAATACAATTGTACATTTTTAATAATTCTGATTGACCTAGTTATCCTAAGAAAATTATTGTTGTATACTATGTTGGCGATACTTGTGGAACAAATGTGGATGAATATTTATTACTGTTAAGTGCTTATAGTAGCAATAGAAATCTCTACGATAGTAATTACACATTACGTTTAACCCCGAACAACAACCAGCCTGACAAGCTTACAATTATTTTTTTTGCTTCAACGTGACTTATCAATTAAAAGCGCTTCTTAATAAAGGTAACTACCAACTCCCCTTCATTAATGAAATATATTCAATCTTTCCTTTTCACCAACGAAATAATTTCTTATGTCTGCTTACAATTTGGATGAGAGAACCAAAAATAGAATTTATCAATAACTGAAGGATCAAAATGTTGTTATCCCTAAAGAAAAATTAAGAGGAAGAAATTACTATTAATAATAATAATAATAATAATAATAATAATAATAATAATAATGTCACTAAATTCAAATAAAAGATGACATAATTAGCCACTTGATGATGGGTACAATAAGATGGATTAGATAATCACCATCCTCAACAAAAGTAGTAGTAGTACGACAACTTTTTAATCAAAGTTTAATAAAATAAGCAAAGATTAGATTATAGTTAATACGAAGGCAAACAAATTATATTGTTTTTTTTTTCTTCTACACCTCTTTCACTTCCACAGCAGCAGCAACAACATTACTCACTTCTTTGACTTCTTCTTTGACTTCCTTTTTGGGCTCATTAAGTTCAAAGGCTGCAACAGGAAAAGTCCTAGAAAGCCCAGTTGGAGTCTTGAAATGGATTTTACCAGTGGATGGCTCATCAACACATATTTCATTTAGTGTTAGCCACATAAGTAGCTCTTTAGCTTTAACCCCAGTAAGTTTCTTGATCTTATTGGGCTCAACATAGGCAGTGACTTCAGTTGCATATTGGACTGATTTACCAATTTTTTCAAACTTGTGTTCTGTTTTTTTCTTGGATTTGAGCCAAACAAAGCCAGTGTCCTTAACATAGCCACATTCTAACATGTCTTGCATAGGAAGTAGGCCATTTGGTAGGCCTACTTCAGTCAGCAACAACTTTGATTTCTCTTGGCAGATATCATTTCCAGTGTAGAATTCAGTTGCACTTGCTCTGATCTCCTCTGTCACTAGAGACATTTTTTTCTTTTTGGCTTACTATGTTTCTAATGAAAGAGATGTTGTGGAATGAGATGGATTGGTTAATAGGTTACTAATATATATATAGATGGATTGGTTAAAGGGCTCAAATTTCCAAAATGCCCTTATGAATTATGATATGAAAAGGTTAAACAATAATGTTTTATTAAATATTTTAAGCTAGAAAGTTGTTATTCTCACTAAACATGAAAAATGCATGAAGTTGTGCGTGTCCAGTCCGTCTCTATTTCAAAGTACTTAAAAGAAACGTATGAATCTTGTGATTTTAAACTAAAGATTTATAAAATATATCAAAATATCATTCAATCTTGTGATATTAAACATGTTACGTGAAGTTCAAATAAAGAGTTGTCAATAAAGAAATAAAATACTCATATTAATCAAAGGGGCGCGCAAAGCTCAAAGTAGATATGTAAAAATAAATAAGAAGAGTACTCCCTCCGTCCCTATTTACTTGTCCATATTTCCTCTTTTAGATGTCCCTATTTACTTGTCCATTTTGACAAATCAAGAAAGGACAAAAAAAAAAATTCCTATTATACCCTCATTTAAACTTCTTGAAAATTTAAACTTCCCCCAACATTGATTAGTTATCTTGAATAAATTTATTTTGGAATCATAATTAATAAGGACAAAATTGTAACTTCACTATGCTAATCATTGTTGCCTTAATATGTGTATCATTTCTAAAGTGGACAACTAAATAGGAACGGAGGGAGTATAATATTTTTTTGTGACAATTGTGCATGAAGTTGACGAATTCCAACAAAAATTAGGAAAAGGTCAGCCAACTTGCAAAAAGGGATAATAAAAAATGAAAAGGGGCTAAGGCGCGGGATCTCCACACCTTACCCCAAAAATATACCCCCGTCCCTTTTTAGTTGTTCATATTTTCTCTTTTAGTTGTCCCTATTTAGTTGTCTATTTTGACAAATTAAGAAAGGACAACAAATTTTTTCCTACTATACCCTTATTTAAACTTCTTGAAAATTTCTAGTAAGCTGTAATTCATCCTTTTTGGAACCAGACAATACATTTATTATGCTTGGGGAGTTACACAGTCACATCATAAAAGGCATACTAAAACAAATAAACTAACATTAGTTGATAAGTTTAGAGCATTTTTTTGCATTTATTTAAATCTGCCATTTTTTACATGTAAATCTGTCCATTAGAGAATTAAGACATAACGTACATTTTTGTAAAATATTGTTTAATCTTTTCTGTGCTATGTGATTGTCCAAATACGAAAACTGCCATTTTTGATATGTAAATGAATAGAGGGAGTATTTAAAAAACATTGAGATCGGGTATACATTGTGCAATACCGTAAGAATCATCCACTTCAACAGAAATATTTAAATCTATTCCCATTCATTGAACTTGATTAATTTTGTCTTGTATCCATTGGTTGTTTGATTCCTCATTTCATTGAAGCATTTTTTTATAACAAAATATTTTGGTGGGAAATTTTTAAATGTTACAAAAAATTGTAAAAGTGTATGTTGTTTCCCTCCAATTTATTTCACTTGAATTCAAAGAAGTGGCTGTAATTTTGAAGTGAGTAAATAAACTTATGAACTTCCCAGCATTGATTAGTTATCTTGAGTAAATTTATTTTGGAATTGTAAAATTGTACTATAAGGGTAAAATTGTAACTTCACTATGCTAATCATTGTTCCCTTAATCTGTGTGCCATTTCTAAAGTGGACAACTAAATAGGGACGGAGGGAGTAATAAATAAGGATAATATAGATTATATTTTGAGTTATCTTTTTTTATATAAACATAAAATGAACTATTTTGAGACGAAAGGAGTAGGAATATTACAAGTACTTCTTTGTTTTTCCCAAAATTGTGTGGAGGACATTAACTTGGTAGTCCACCAAAAAATGGAAAGAGAGTGATTCGAGCATTGAAAACAAAATGGTCCTACAATATGGAAAATTAGATGGAAGGTTGTACTACAAATTAAATATTCAGAAGTATGCCTTGTTAATATTTAATGCAGAATTTATTAGTAAATAAAACAGTTGGAAGGAATAACAAATACAGTATGAGTAGTTGGAGAGGGTTAACCTATATATAGTAATTCTGCCAAGAAAATAATAATTTTCTAGGCCTATCTTTTCCTCAGAACACAGTAAATTATCATTATGTCAAATGCATAACGTTTGTTTTCAGACCAATTAATGTCAACTACCACATCCACACCAAGAACTAAATAAAAACCATATGCACCTCCATGATAGCAGACGCCGATAAATACTTATTTGCACTCGATATTAATACTAGATCATAGCGTGATGTACATCTATTGGACACCGGATGAATAAGATATTAATATCAGAGAGAATGATTCTTATATCCAAGCTTATAATTCATTCAAAAGCTAAACCTAGAAAAAGTACAAGATAGGTGGCGGTGCTCTTTAATATACGTACACACAACCTTGCAAGCAGGGGACAAACGCCAATATATCTAATTTAATGCGAAAATAACACTTGGGAGTAATAAAAAGAGCAGGCAAGAGAAATCAAATACATATTATACATAGTAGTCACCTTCATACATTATAGTTTGTCTATATCCTATCAAGCAAAAGAAAATAATGAAAGAATAAGACGATACATAAGATCTATCGAAAACATTCTATCTATCTACACTAAGACAGGGGTAAGACGACTGCATACACACCTGACACCACCTCTCCAAACCCCGCTTATGAAATTACACAGAGTATGATATATTGGAAATGTGGATGAATATTTATTACTGTTACGTGCTTATAGCAGCAATAGGAATCTCTGCAATAGTCATTATGCATTATATTTAACCACAAACAACAACCAGCCTGACAATCTTACAATTATTATTTCTTGTTTCAATGTGGCATAGCTCTACTTAATAAAGGCAACTACCAACTCCACTCCATTTAATCTTCCTTTCCACCAAGGAAATAATTTCTTATCTCCGCTAACAATTCCAATAGAAGAGAACCAAAAATAGAATTTTGAGATCAAAAACGTTATTATCCTAAAGCAATATTATGAGGAAGAAATTACCAATTTTGGTATTTTGATCATTTATAAAACGAATCCCTAGTGTACATATTTAGAAGATATTGGACAGCAAAAATACAACACTACATGTCGAAGAAATGCTTCCAACTTCCAAATGAGCCTTCAACTTATTCTATAGAAGGAAAAGTCCATGCAATTGTTCTTACTAGCAAATTATACTGAACAAATAACATAAATTATTATTCAACAATTCAATTCTTGCTAGTAAAATAGAAATGGCTCTGGTAGAAAATAAACATGAACCACTTGGATTCTGGTGCTGCTATTTTTTTTAAAAAAATCGTAACTGTGTCGAGGCGTGGAGAATTAAAAGCAAACTAACTGTGAGCAGCTCCAGCTCCAGTGTCTGTTCCCCTTCCATTGGCAAAGTTGTTCAACAAGGACTCAAGGTGTTTAATTTCCTTTGGTATGGAAGCAGTAAGGACCTGTATCCAGAGAGGTAGAAAATTGGCATAAAGATTCATCGACCATCAGACCTTTACTCATAATGCCATAAAACCAACTTAATCTTTAGAGCGCTAATAATTAGTTTCGTACATAATCAAAGGGTCAGAGGAACCATATGGTTGCTTAGGCCTTAAAAGCAATTGAACAATTTCTGTCAACATACCTCATACCCCGATTCTGTAATAAGGACTTCATCTTCAATTCTTATGCCAATGCCACGGAACCTGATTGACAGAAGTGATTATAGATGATGAGATTTAAGTATACAGAAATGCAAGTAAAAGCACGATTTCTAAGAAAACAAGTGCGCCTTTTATTCCTTAGTGGGGGGCAAGAGAATAATCTAGCTCCTTAACTACAGATGAATCACCAGGCAACAGAAATTTAAATTTGACAGCTACTTAGTTCAAGTGAGCAATTATTCTTTCTCCCCAAGATTTACAACAAAGCAACCATTTTTCCTAGAACCGGACAACCTGAAAATGCCATTGCTACATGGAATATTTATTTCGAGGTGTGAAATCTTTTTTAAATCGTGCAAAAGAAATTTCGAATTAAAGGTTGCTGATACCAGTCGTGGTTGAACATAATTAGCCTTTAGTCATTCACTGAAACCCCAACCTAACTGGGACTCTTTTGTACAATTACTCAAAATGACTAATACTGCTACAGGTTACAACTCTAAGAACTTCACTGCAGTTGATTTGACCTACAGGATCTACCTGACCAACCTAGAAAATACATTGTCATATGATTCTCTACTTTTTATGCATAAAAGAGTAATTCTTCATTAATCCACCACAACACATTTTGGCAGATAGAACCAGTTCAATAAACTGAGAATCTCCAAGAAACTCGAGGAAGATCTAAGATACAGAAATCTGAATGCATGTCAAAAGGAACATCAATTTGATAAAGTAACAAGTATACCTTTCTGGACAATCAACCAATGAAGGGATGTATACTCCTGGTTCAATTGTGATGACCTACATATAGAAGTTCATGAAGATTGATTAGAGGTTCTTGCAGAAATCACAAGTAATTAGACGCTGACATCAGAAGGACTCATCTATTTTTGTGGTCAGTAATAATGTAGAAACCACCAGAGAGAGCAGGAGCTTACAAATGTCTAATGACCAGGCAATTTTATCCAAGACTATTTAGCTTTAATTTCATCTGATCATTTTGGGCTATATGCATCTGCTTCATCACTTTTAGAAGAAAGTGTAAAGCATGTCTCACAATTGGTCATGACTTTATCCAAATGCCAGATGTACAAACGCACAGAGGCAACACAGTATTCCAAGAGTCCGAGGTAAGAAAAACAAGAACAAGCACATATGACATAACTGCAGAACAATCCTAAGTTATGTGCTTAATCAAATATAAATGTAATACAGAATTAGCATATTTTTCCTCAGATATGATCACCAGGAATTATACAACGTAAGAACCTCTGAGTAGAATGTTCATGGTGCTTCTTTGTTCAAAAC